ATTAAATTTCATCGATAACTGCAATTTTATTGGACAAATTTCACCGAATACATCCATAATTTTATCGGAAAACTTAATTGGAAAACCTGATTATTTTCCATCGGAAACACTACTTAATCGACTTGTCCAACCGTTTACTTACGTGTAAAATGTATATTCTAGTAATGTTACGTTACTTCGCAAGCTCTCAGAAAAATAATACACGGACTTGATTCTGGAATTAATTCGCGGGAGAAACGTCCGCGCGAATTCTGCTCTTACAGAAAAGTTGCAAGTTGATTGGTTATCGCGCGGTTTTGAGCCAAACGACGGGAAACTTTTCTGTAAGAGAAAAATCTGCGCGCACGAATGAATTCAAGAATCTATAGTCTCAGATTCCACTTAGGGCCAGTTTCACAAACGTTAACTGCTGACGGAGATCAATCGATCCTCTTTCTCTTCCCAGATAATAATACAGAAAAAGACAGGGTGTCGACTAATCTCTGGTTTATCGACGTTTGTGAAACTGACCCTGATGCCCGTTCTACAGCTGGGGATGATCCTACTTGCGGCTCATCCGAGTGAGTAAATAAATGGACAAAGATGGTCGTATTGAGACCGTTTATGGACTCGGGTGCCATTTCTACATAAGAAGACGGTTAAAAATCATAGCGAAATCACACAAAAACCATACTTAGTATGATAGTCATATTAAAATGCCCGTGTAAACTTCTCCACTCGGATGAGCCACAAGTAGGATCATCCCTAGGTATAGAACGGGCATTAGGCCCGGTTTCACCAACGTTGTTTAAGCTTAGCTTAATTCGTTCCTTGCCTCTTTTCAACCGTTATTTTAGAAAGAGGCAAACGCGAATTAAAGTAAGACTAAAGTTAAACGACGTTTGGTGAGACCAGGCCTTATTGGTAAATAATTACTTATCGTCTTGTCTGCCGCGGTATGAAGTCAGCCCCCCCGAAGTTACGTCGCGTAAAGTCGCGCGGGTTGCATCCTACAATATAATGCTCAGACCGGCCGAGCGGCGTGGCCGTTTTCTGTCTCGCGTGTAATCCGGTCCTTTGTACGTTGGCCCTGGCTTGCTCCGCTTGGCTTGATTATTAATTATTATTGGAAGGCAAATGTAGCGTGACCGTTGCGCGCGGCAACGATCGATAGTTCATGCACGACGAGCCGCGCACCCCGAAGAGGATTAATTCGGGCAAGCGAGACTCCTCGGACGCGACGCGACGCGACGCTTCTGCCTTTTATCGTCGGCCCCCGCGCTCGTCCATTTTCCCTCGGAGCGTCGAACCCCCTCGTATTTATAAACTTTTCGCCGTTCTAGGCACTCGCCACGGTCTAGCCGGAAGCCGGAAGAGCGACGGGACGCGGACCAGCCCGGGTAGAACTTCTCTGAAGGATATTGACGTCGAGAGATTTCTCGACGCTGGCAGGACGATGAAAACTTCGTAATTTCGGACGTGCTCCAGTTTGCCCGGCTGATGACTTCAGCCGAGAGCCGCTATCGCGATCCCTTGCAGACGCGCTTACGCTCCCGGGGACTGTTACGCGTCGAGACGAAAAGTTTGGAGCGGCGTACTCGACCGACTATTAATAGGAGAAATACGACGGCTTCTATCGCGGAGAACAATTTCGCGATTGCTCTCGATAGCACCGTCTGCCCGCGGTCGGGTCACGTTTTGCAATTCCAGCAGAAAGTATTGCACATGAGGTTGTGAAAAAAGAAAATACGGCGCGAGAGCACGCCGCATATTTTATAATGCGCTCCACATAACGCGAAGCGCCATGGACTTTTTATAAATGTTGTAACGTTCGCTTATCCTTTTTAATAGCGCCCAACTCCAACATGATCAATAATCGCATTAAGAAATTGTTGTATATCTTAACCGTCGTATTAAACACTTTTCGTCTTTGCTATCGAAACGTCATATTTCAGACTTAATACTTGTCGTTACTGTCCGGCTCTTAAAACGTGTCTCGAGATGGAAAATATAATTAAGCGTTATTGCAAGCTCTCGCATAATATTTGTGGTACAATGAGAAATTGCTGGGGTTTATCGGATCGTAGAGTGGACTTAATAAAAATCCGCCGCCATTCGTCGCTGCATTAGAGACGAGCAATATAAGAAATCGCTCGGAGGGCATTCTGCTTGGAGGTCTCCGATAAATTGCGAGCTCAATAGGTCCAGCGGCACATTTTCTCGGGTTTTCTCGCGCGCCACCGAGGGGGCGGGGAGGGGGACAGGGGCAGAAAGGAAGCGAGGGTTCGTCCGGCGAGTTAAAGTTATCGTTTTCATAACTCTTGACGCTCAAAGGGGAGGTGGACCGATGAAAATATGCCGTTGTTACGGGAGGATTAGCGGGGGATTAGCCGTGAGATTTAGATTCATCTGGGGCTGGGCGCGCTCGCTAAATGTCTAATCCGGAAATATGGTTGTCCTTTGCTCAGGATGTCGAGGCGCGCGAGCCACGGAATTCTCTCGGCGGATAAATCCGCGGCCCGCACTAAATATCAATTTGCAACGTTAGCGTTGTATTACGTAAAACGGACCGCAATATAGCAGGTCCTCGCTCTTTTGATCTGCTATCCACGGCAGGGAGATGAAAAAAATGTGCCATAACGGTGCTTGCACCGAGGCAACGTTGGCTTTACCGCGGTATGAGTCTACGATTATCTCACGATTGTTCGCATCTGTGTCGTCAGTGTAAACTGTTTTCCTTTTCCATTAATACACTCTAAATAATCTTTTTAATATTTTATTATTCACACAGACGTACCGAATCGAGTGTGGAACATTGATGCATCGGTGAATTAACTCTCTCGAGGAATTTTTAATTAACTTTTGTGGGGGAAAAAAACAGCACGAAGCAGACTTAGGGCAAAATGCAAATTATTATTTTTCTGGCGCTTCAATATGTTGCAACATTTGTTTCGCGCAGCTGCTTCTCGAAAAACGAAAAGATCAGCAACAGTGTAGCTGGTTTGCACTTTAATGAAAGAATTCTTTGATGTGAAATAGCACTCCCCTGACAGAAACTTGTAAAGCTGAATATCATACGGGGGAGCGTATGAAAGTATTGTTAGCGGAATAAAGGATAACTGGAAATAAACGTATTCTAAAAGAAAAGGAAATCCTCGAGTGAAATAACGAGTTAACATTCCAGTGGCGTAACTAGATCTTCTCACACAACTCGTAACAAATTATAACATTTCATACAACTCGTAATATTGAAAAATTTCATTAAAAGTTTACCGATTTCTTTTGTCATCGTAATTATACATACACATAGTAAATAGTCTTCTTCATCTGAAATTTAATTTAGTGTACATGCAACATAATAAGCACATGACAAGAAAATTAGATTTTAGTATTACGTGGAATTTCTCTTATACACTCCTTGTACTAACGATCTGAAAAGGTAAAAATACTATATAGAGGACGGCCCCCTATTATGGCATAGGCTCCTTATATAAGATAGTAGGGTGTCTGCTAAATTAATAGGCATCATCTGTTGGCTCCATCACGTATTTAATGTTGTTGAAATGGAATCTGTTTAATGGAGAATTCGTTGTTAGATTCGTGCAATCGTTGCGAAAAAATATTCGCGACTGAATTTGGATGTTGAAAGCCTGCTGTCTCATATTAGAAGCCTATCTCATAACAGGGGACATTCCTGTATTCTATTACGTTTCAATTGTTTTATTCATTCAAAACATTGTAACACGAATATAAACAGTTCCAAATCTAGTATAAAAATAAATACATAAAGAAAAATGACGAACATCCCGTAGCACGTGTCTTCGCGAACGGGAAATGCGCGATAAAAAAGGAATGAAACGAAAATATGAAAATGTAATATAGCGCACTGTACGACGACGGTAATACACCCGACAATGTTATCACGAATTGATACTGCCACGCACGGCACAGACTGTTTGGATGTAAAGGATGCGGTTCGTAATATCTGATATCCTAACGCGGTATACCCCGTCTCTGTGTGCGCGAGACAGGTATGCGGAAACAACGAACGATATAATTCTGCTACACCGCTTCACCATTAGTTTACGATCCCCAAGGGCGCGCGAGGGGTCGCAATGTTTATAGGGCCCTGTAACAGGGAGCCGCGTAACGTAGCACCCCCCTCAGGCCTCCTCCGCCCTGCTGGCGAAAGTTATAATTGCTGTATGTTAACTCGGCGACCGGGATGGTGACCGCGTTTTTTTTTTTCCGGCACGCCCATTACGTTTTTGGCATTACAGTGTCTTTCACCTGCGATACGGAACCGTCAAATCAAAGGTCTATTTTAGAAGTTGGATAAGTTCTCGGTAAATAACTCGGGACAAGTAATCAAAATTAAGATCTTACGCGGAACAGTCCGTCGTCTTGAGACAAGAGCGATACAACAGTAGCGTAAAACTTAATATATTTACTTGGAATCTGCAAACTTATATAAAAAAACAAACAAAGAAAAAACGATAGTACCTTCCTCTTCGGAAAAAGCTTTAATCTTTGAACTCTCCAAACTCGATCAAGGAACATTAATCTTTACCCGCTCGAAGGTTTTACGATAGCTTTAGAAAAATACAGCTCTCATAAATCGTAATACTTTCAATAATAGCGTAAACGTATTCTAGAAATTACGATGTCGCGATAGTAGTTCGCGTATTTTCTTAATAACCGTTACGCCGTTGCGGAAAATGCGCATAGGTTTGTCATAAATCATAAATGCCGAGCCCACCGCAGGGCTTAATAAGTCCGGCGTATCGACGCGGTTTCCCTCTCTCGCGCTGTATCCCGCGTCCTCTGGTTTCCTACGGACTCGGAGAGAGGGCTTTCCCCAACTACTCCCCGAAGACTATAGATTATTGCAACTTCTGACGCGCAAAGGATGGAATTAAAAACTTCTCGCGCCGCCGACTCCAGCCGGGAGTTACCTGTGGCTGACGGATAAGGATTTAATTGGCTTTGTGTGGGGAAGTTTTAATGAATATATGCGACGCGGTACATTAACGCTTTATTGCCGTCTAAATGTTTTCGTTGCCGTCGCCGCTCGTCGTTTCGACATAGTACTTCTGCAGGCGGTGCAGCCACGCGGTCCAGTATTGCCGCAGCGTGTTGTCGGACACTTCGTACGCCATTGCTGGTGCGCCGCACGTGTAAGCGATCACGAGTAATCCCCGTTTTATCTGCAAAACCGAGGAACACGGTCGTTTTAGGAAAGTGGCTGTGCACCTCTTTTCAATTATACTTTTAGAAATTGGCAACTCTTGCAAGGTATTCCAGTAGCTTTCTCTGTTCACGTGCGGCATTCGACGAACAAATTATAGCATGCAAAATAATCGAATGGTGAATTCATTTTTATAATGAAGTACACAAATATGAGAAATTTTTTTTAATGTGCGCTTTCCTGGTGTTACTTTGCAGAATAAAACACGAATATCTATAATGAAATATAAACTTCTTCGTGTATCACATTTAAATATATGAGATTTCTATTACGATAGATTATTTACCACAAAGGGATAGAGATTAGAAGCATTGATAGCTCCGATGTACGCGGCGAGTTGTATGGGTGCGTCGTACGTTTCCTTCAAGTTCAATTTCTTTCTGTCTGATTTCTTCCAATCGATCACGTAGTTTTCGCCCCTGCGGGTTTAGTGCGTACGTGTAAGACTATCCTGAATACAGGACGATTTTTAACTCTATCACACTCCAGCCAGAAGTAATTAGTCAAATCGATGTCAATTCGACGTTGATGTGTCGATGAATGATAGATGTCGAACACTGATTGATATTGTCAATCATCCTTGTCATCGTCGACCTTATCTTAATTGTGTTTTCATGTTAATTGAGTAATTACAAATGTCTCTGAAAGATTTTTATGTCTTTTGGTCAATTCTACACCAAATGCAATATATATCAAAAATATATATTTTGGCTTTTCGACTTTGTATTAATTCAGTGTAGAGTTAGCCGAGAAACAATAGAAATGTCGCAGAAATATTCGCAATTGTTCAATTATGTATATCTATTATTAATTATTTATATTATGTAAAGATCAATTAATAATATTTGACCGTTTGTTGACGTCGAAATGACATCAATACGACGTATTATTTCTGTCTGAGTTGAAAACATAAAGATCGATATAAATCAAAATCATCGTGTATTGCGCGAAATATAATAAAGTTTTCAGGAAACTCTATTTCGAATATAGATCAACGGAGAATATCAGGCCAATTAATGAAAGCTCTTAGTAATTTTTGAAGAAAAGTGCAATAAATAATTTACTAGACCGGCTACATTCGAGAAAATCTAATAGTCGACAATAATGTTAATAATCTCGATATTTATTATTTCAGTCGAAGATTTTACATAAAGTAAATTGTAAATGCCGTATCCTCAAAAATATCTTTTCATTAAAAAGAAATTAAAACTGTACCAAGACAAAAAGTATCGGAAAAGCATCGTGGCAATTATTTATGAAAAAGATTTGTTGGGAATAAATTACAAGTCTTTTTCAACATTTTACTTTTACTAAGTAGAAAGATCTCGGGGAAAGCATCTCCAAAATTTATGATAAAAAGAATTGTCTAGACGACATTAGACTGGCAGATGGTTTATTTATTTAATTCCGACGTTATGACCATGCGGGTTGTGGTCCTTTTCACCACAGTAGGATTAAAGTGGTGCTAAGTAGATACCGAGAACATAACAATAAATAAATAAATAACTATAAAAACGCAGTCGGAGTCAAAAAGGATCAAACAAGAATAAATAGTAAATATGTTCAATGGATAAATAAAAATATAAACTGGTGATTCACATTCTTTCGTCCAAAATTGATATTTCAAATTTTTAAATCGGATTTTAAAGACAATTTCAACTTTTCACAAAATTATAAGATATAATTTAAACTGATGTTTTTCAAAGTCAATAATTTAAATCATATAATTATTTTTAATTACAAAATACAATTTTTCTACTTAATAAATAAACTATATAAATATGTAGAGACTGAGCCTCACAATTAGCCTAGAACTATAAAACGTCGAATATTATTTAGAGCATACAGCTATTTTACAATAGAAATTATAAAATTGAACTGGAGACCAGGCAGTGACCTCTGCTTTCGTCCGTTTCGTTATAGAAATAGAGTTTCCCGGTGATGGCAAAGCAAAGTCTCTGTTTTACCTATAAGAGGCTACACAGTCGACTACGCCTTTGTAACGCAGCTTGCCATGAACCACATGGCTCTCGATCGCTCTCACGTGGTGCACATCCCCCAAAATGCATTGGACACTCTTAAAGACCGGTTCAATCCTCGAAGGAACCTCATACTCTTTCCCTCGCAGGCTCTCCGCTATGCACAAATGCAAAGACGCTCCGTCCTCTAACAATGCTGCACCAGGAGCAAATAGATTTATTTATTACGCTTATTAATGTTTCTCTTTCTCGCGGAACAGCTTATCAAATACCTTTCTTATGCATTTCAAATCCTTCTTGCCCAAGCTTTTTTATCATTCTTTCCTTCCACGCCTCCAGAGCCAGCTTCGACTCTGGTGACATAGTTTGAGTGAGAATCTTGGTTACGCTGGGAAATTTTTTTGTCTCTTGATCATCTTTTCCGGATATAGATAATATTTCTGTCGATTGTGTGGGAGGCACTTGTTTGCTGCCCATAATTGGGAAAGTTGGCAAATTCTTTATGACAATGTCAGGCAATCTTTCAACATTAGAAGACACGCATCTCGTGGCTGTACTTTCATTACCAGATACATTTGAATCGGACGATGCAACTTCGTTGTTACGGTCTTCTTTTGCTGACAAATTGGATGCTGTATCAGATCTAAGTTCTATTTCCTGAACAGTCCGATTAGACTCAGAGTGAAGGGCATTCTTTGTATTTTGGTCGGTTGAGCTTTCAAACTTCAGCTCGCTAAATTTTTGCGCTGAACACCCATCTTTATCATTCGACTGCTCGTTTCGTAACTCTGCAGGGAGGACAATCTTTTTGAACCTGCTGCGAGGATTTTCCAGAAACCATGACAATTCTGTATCCATCTGATTCGTGTTTTCAGGTACCCTCCCTTTCCTTTCCAATTTCAATCTCTTTTTCTTTTGGCCATTGGTTTCAACTAACGGGCCGAATAGTAATTTATATTGTTTCATCAGCCTTTTAATTCTGTCGTCCTTCGTGGAGTACTTTTTGACAAACGGTTGGCACATGCTTTGTATCTTAGAGGATACACGTGGAACGTAATGGAAAGTGACCAACATAGTTGTAGTTGGATAAATTAAACTGTACCGTTGCGTATTACTTGTTTTATGTAAGCCCGATTCCTCTGATCTCAGTTCTATTAATAGATAATTAAATGTACTATGAACAATCAATAAAATTCTGCCTTTCTTTAAAATACTAACGGATATATCTGTTTTTCTTTGAGATATTAAAGGCCATTTATTTATTTGTTGTTAGGGCAGAATGTTTGACAAAATCGGAAATTTTTAATCTTTCTGTTCGTTTACACTTTACATAAATGTACAGTTGTCTCTCAATTACAATGATATTGTAATATCTAAACGGAACTTACCTGGAGAGAAAGCCTTTTAGCATAGATATTGTGAAATGATTCATCCATAAAAAAAACTTAACTGATCATAAAAATAACGAATGATATATCTTAGACAACGTATCGCTAGAAAACCGAATTGATAAATTATATAAAAAAAAACGTAGATGCGCCCTGTTAATGTGCGTTAGAACTGTCCAAAACAAATCACAAAAATAAAGGTTATGTACGTACATGTACGCGTGAACTTGACCCAAGCCTGAAGCACTTTAACTGCCATCTACAAATGACTTTTATATAATCCTGCTACATCATTTCGTTACCAACCTTCGGTACAAACGTCATATTATTTTTTCGTATTTTATAAATGTTATCATTTATTTTATAAAAATTCTTTAAGTTTCAATTGTGAAATAATTATTAAGACAGCATTTTTTACTAATAATAAAGAATCGTACGTGATGTTATACTATATTAATATTTAAATAGCAATTGAAATAATAGAAAATTAATCGATCGTTTTACAAACATGTTGAATTAGTTGCAAGTTCTTCAAATATTTTATTGCTGTTTTATTCGACAAGATACAAGATACTATTTACGTTTCTGAATCTCTCGGTACACATAGTACAGCGTCGCTGAACTTTTTATCATTTTTATAATATGGTTTTATAGTTGGTTAAAGATAAGCATAGTTTTTGGGCCGTTATAGTGGAATGACCCTTTAATAACTAACAACAGTTTCATTAATAATAATTTAATAACAATTAAATGTAATTAAGTATTTAATGTAATTTTTTTAATAATACACAATAATGTCCCTACGATTTTAGAATTGGATTATAAAATTATTAATACGCTGTAGCGCAATTGAAGACATTGCTGCAAGAACGAGGTAAGTCCACTTTTTGGCGACAATGATGTTTTAACACCATTATATGCAACGTTCCAAGCCCGATCGGTTGGTGTAAAAACGACGTACGTAAGTGCATTGTTAGTTAAATAAACTGAGATTTTTGAACTTGCCCCTCTAAGCAGATTGGTGCAAGAACGAGGCAAGTGCGGAAAAAAATTAGCTAATTTAATAGTTTATTACTTATTTTTACTAATTTATCACTATAACTATCTAAAAGGTACTACTTTCAAATATTTTTGGCTAGTTTATGTTCTGTTGCTAGGCATTTTTTCCATTTTTGGTGCTAGAACGAGGCAAGTCCAAATTAAAAGTGTTAAAATTTCATGCATTTTGAAAGTTTGTTATTATTTGAATAAGTATGCGCTAATGGATAGCTAAGAAGAATATAATGTAAAATAAATAAACTTTCTGAAACAAAATTTGAAAACGGGGGAAAGTTTTTTTCGTTTATCTCGGAAACATAAAATGTGGACTTACCTCGTTCTTGCAGCAATGTCTTCAATTGTGTATACGTATTGTATGCACGCACATATGCAACATGCATATGCGTTGCAGATACGTTATTTGATAAATACCTGAAAGTTGCGTCAGTCACGCTTACTATGAACAAATCGCCCGGTTCAATTTTGCTGAATGAAAAATTCCGGACTTTGTACGATCTGATCATTGAGGCAGTTTTATATCCGACAATCAAATCTAATTTTACACTACTGCTGCGAGTAGTAATAAGATGCATTGATATACTATCAGCCATCGCGCTTACATACATTATCGCCGACGTTTTTTCGCATTATCGGCATTCGCACGATCGGTATTACGAGCGCGTTTCGCAATAAGAATCCGCAAGCCTGGGTAATGAAACGGTCGTACGCTTTATTTCATTACCTCGAATCGTGCGCTATTAAAAGAAGTTTCAGGTTTACGCCGCTCTTTGTTAACGTCGGACCTTGACGCTCGTACTCTCTAAGGAAAAACCGCTGTTTACTCTTTTAACGTACAAATCACGGTACAATCGCTAAACTAGCGCTGAGAAAATACTGTAAATTAATCAAAATGTATAGATAAAGGAAAGAAGATAGAAGCATAAAATATCATTTTCTTGTCAAGTATATGTATATACAGAAAAATCCCGCACTCTTTTCAGTAAGAAACATATCGACGATCTCTTTCGCGAGGTCGTATCTCGATTTTACGTAATTTTCGGGTTTTGTGGTTAAACGCTCATTCTGGTCCAGAATTAACGTTTAAGCAGACACAAACCAGAAATTGCGTAAAATCGAGATACGGCCTTGCGAAAGTGATCAGTCGATACGTTTGAGAATATTTTCTGTATTCTCTCGCTCTCTCTTCCTTAAGAGTATTCTCGCTTCTTATCTATTTAGAAATGCTTGTTGGTCGACGTGTGAAATACAATGTTCCGTCGTTTAAATGGCAAAACTGAGTAACCGATCAACGGCGTTGTAAATCCAAGGACACGGTATAGGAAAAAGAAACAAGCAAGGAGGCATAACGAGAACAAAGGGTACACGTACATATATCCGAAACTTTTAGCGGTATCAGCACCTAACATCTAGCATCGTGCGCAGGCCGCGTGCAGATTCGTGCCGACGCAATGGCAGCGATCTCTCGCCTGGCCGGCGCTGGTCAAACGGGGTGTGCCGGTGCACAACCCCCTCATTGTGCTCGGCTTACGCAACAATCGTTCACATGCGACCTTTGATGCAGTTTCGCCTTTCTCCCCTCCCTCCCCTCCCCCCCGCAGAAAATTAACGATATGACGTGCTTTATTGTGTGACGTGCGTCGAGCCCGCTGAGCGGTATCGCGCGCCGTGACGTAAGATCTCAACCGCGGACTCGCGGCCCTTTCGAAGGCTCGAGGGTGTACCCCCTGCCCTCTTTCCCATGATTAACGAGGATTTTTCTGCTAATTTAATAACGGCCTGCTGTCGAATCGAGTTCATGGCAGACCATTTGTAAAACGGCGATTATCCCGAGTGGCGTCGAAGTAACAGGAAGATAACGCTTGCAGCGGACAGTGATGTATGGCGCCGTTTATTTGGCAATTAATCCCTCCTTTTTGTCTTACCGTTTGGTCGCAAAAGGGAGCCCCTGTCGTTATATTTCGTGCAATTGTACGAGAAGTCAATAGAGGCGGCCGGTTCAAATATATCTCGTTCGCATATATTATATTATTAATTAACATCGGCAGGTTCTCCTTAAATCTGAAAAAAAAGACAAACGTCGAATCTAAAGGAGGATGTGTGAAAGTCGTCCATTTTTGCCCCCGAGTGAAATGTGCATGTTTTTTTTATAGTTTTTAAGCTGCGGAATCACGTGGTGCAATTCAGTTTTTTCTAAACACGAGGAGAACATATGTAAAAATGTGAAAGGAGTGAGTAAATAGACACGGACTTCTAGAGGAAAAATTTTCTATAAATAACTACAAAAATTGACTTAATTTTTTTCTAAAAATATCTACGAAATATTACCACAAATTACAATATTCTCAAATCAAGAAATTATTGCAAGTAGTATTTCATGAAAATGTACAATTTTGTAAAAATTAGTACAAAACTTTACTAGTTTTAAAAATCTGAAAAACGACAAAATCTTAAAGGGTTAAAACATCTGCTTACTTGTAGAATATTACAAAAATTAACAAAAGTGTTCCAGTTCTAGCATTTTTATTTTGATTTTTATAACGCTTTTTAAATTTACATAGAATTTCTTAGATTTTGACAGTATTTTTTGTAGAATATTGTAAAATTATTTTCGGCAGGGATGTACCATAAGATTGAGATACATAGGGAAGTGGCAACCACCGAGAGTAGCCTATCACATATACCCCTTTAGAGGTGTAGCCCTTCAGATTGGAAGTTTCATCCGGCAAGGTTAGCAGCCTACCGAAGATGAAGTAAAACCAAATGCTCAAAGTATCAGAACGCACTGGATGAAACAGGCTTTAAGCCTAATACACGAGGACGAAGAAGAATCTCATTACCAATTTAATGACATAATAATTGACCTTTCAATAATTGATCAAACCTTTGATGTCAATTCTATTCATACCGTCGACCTCAGCGTTACTCAATGTGCACCGCGGGTCGCGGGTCGCGCGATCGAATTTTGCATATCGTTTAGCCCTAAAAAGGGCCGACTTTCCAATTCGGGAGTTGCAATCGGGTGTCTGCGGCTATATACGTGTGCAAACACGTCATCACAACAAAATGTCATATATTTGAGTTGGTTTTCGAGTTGGTTCCGTAAAAGAAATTATGTATCATTCTTATGGCACATCCGTGTTTATTTACCAACTTCCCTAGCGGAAAAAATTTCTATAAATAACTCTAAAAAATGTTCTATAAATAATTACAAGAAATTGACTTGGAATAGAAATTTGTAAAAATTTTTATATCTTCGTTAAAACATTTCTTTTTTTTTTGTAAAAATATCTACGAAATAGTACGACAAATTACACTGTTCTCAAATCAAGAAATTATTGCAAGTAGTATTTCATGAAAATGTACAATTTTGTAAAAATTAGTACAAAACTTTACTAGTTTAAAAAATTTAAGGAACAACAAAATCATAAAGGATTAAAACATCTGCCTACTTGGAAAATATTATAAAAATTAACAAAAGTGTTCCAATACTAGCGTTTTCATGTTGATTTTTATAACACTTTTTAAATTTACGTAGAATTTCTTCGATTCTGGTAGTATATTTTATTTTTTGGTAGAATTTTGTAGAATTATTTCAGGTAGGGTTTTTTCATATTTTTACATATTTTCCCCTCATGTTTATGGAAAACTGCACCACGTGATTCCACAACTTAAAATCTATAAAAGAAATTGTTTTACTTGAGCTGGAATAATAATTGACGACTTTTAGATATCTTCCTGTTATCTCTAAGTCAGATTTCCATATTGTTTTTTTTTCACTTGACCTGTCTCCTTCTTCCTTGTTTTACCTAGTCACGTGACATACGATAGGCTGCCATAGAAGGAAACTGCAGCAAGAGGTGAACTGGACGGAAAAATGTCTCCACGTTTTTACGTAACGCTGCAACCGAAAACCGTCGTCGCAGAGTCGCGCAACGGTGAAAGTTTCGCCATATGAAATTTAAGATGATTAGAAAAAGCTGCTATACGTGCCAATGGATCAAAATGAATGGACCGTACGTTATTGCGTATATTAAAAACGAGGAAGTTACATATGTATATAGTATATACGCCATATACAGATACGCTAGATACATAGTAGCGATAGATACGTGAACGGTGTTATGCGATATCTCTTTCGCATTCGTAGGGATTGATTGTATCGAGTTCGGCTTGAGTTCAAGTTAACTAATTGTGCGTTGAGTAACCCATTGTCCTTTCGCAATATATCATTTTGTTCCGTAACGTGGAGCAAACGGCTTGACGAATAAAAAGTGTTTAACCTCGGCCTTGCCTTCAAAGTGAGATAATCGCTTCCCAGGTAGCAAGTGAGTTATTTCGATACCGTTTCATGTTTGACACTTTTTACGACGGCTCAACATCAGAGCGACGACAAATAACAGTCAACTACCTGAATTTGAAAGTTTTAAGAATGATTTATGAGATCTTGGCACGCTCGCTTCGGGAGACGAGATATATCGTTCCTTGACGTTGCCTTCGGGCAACGAGATATATTTCGTACTTTTATACTGACGTTGGTTTCGAATAACGAGATATGTCATAAAAATAATTTCCATAGTCAGATCTTATGTTCAGATCTTATCTTAAGATCACTACTCCGTAGCCAATGAAATATTCGATACAGCATCTTTAGATAAATTCAAGACGGTCCCGAATATAAGATCAGACTATGAACGCCGGCCATAGACAATTTGTGCTACAAAATTATTGTAAATGCAAATATAATCAACAAAGCCTTTTGAGTGCTCGTAACTAAAACCTAATCTACGATGTGCTCGTTGCGTCTAGAAACATTCTAATTTGTAGTCAATAAATACGTTTAAAAAATTGGCGCAGATGGATAAATTGTACATTATACACTGTACAATCGTACATTGTAGATAAAGTTTTTAAGCGTTTCGATTTGTTTGTATAAAACAGAATGTTGCTAGATGCACATTATAGATTAGGCTGGAGAGTTCTATACAAGATGTTCCATTTATCTTGTGCATCACCAATAACTGTTATTTATCCAGTGAAATGATTTGTCAAATCGACATCAATATTATCAAGATAATCCAATCATTTTTCCAATATCAAGACTGTGGAAAATGCTCAAGTACGTCTTTGGTGAAAATCACCCGAATATGTGTCAATTTAAAAAATGACAAAGTTAAATATATCTGCTTCGGTAAAAATTATTGAACTTCAATCGAAAGTTGTAGTTTAATGAATTGAAATTTGCAAGAAATTGAGTGATAAAATTAGACAAAAATTTCCACTTTGTTTTATCGAAAGAATTAGAGGTACAAATTAGAAGAAGTTAGAAAGAAGTCTAACTAAATCACCCGATCTTGTCTTATTTGTAACTCTTAGCTCTTCTAATTGAATCCAACGAAAGAGATTTTACGAGATTCTAAATCTGACAATTCCACATCACTGCTGGATCATACGTCAATTGAAACGTTTCATCGAGAACAACCGAAAGAGATTCTACGAGATTCCAAGTCTGACAATTCCACATCACTGCTGGATCGTACGCCAATTCAAACTCTTTCATTGAGAACAACCGAAAGAGATTCCACGAGATTCCAAGTCTGACAAATCCACATCATTGCTGGATCATACATACATCAATTTAAACGTTTGATCGAGAACAACGGCATTGATCCTCCTTCGGGGAGGGGGAGGGGGGGAGGTCGATCGATCAATTTTTAATTCCCATCGGCGCGGTGCGAGTCGATCGCTGGTCTAACAAAGAATTTTCGTGACGAAGTGCGCTAGAAAAATCGTTTTAGAAAGGCGTATTAGCCACGCGTACCTCTACCTTCTTGCCGGCGGTACTATTGCGCCGCTAAACTGCTCCATACGTCTCTATTTACGCGCGTATGTGTGTGAGTGAACGGGGTATCGCGTACAGATGTGCGATGTATGTACACACGTGTAATTCGTCTCGGCGAGGTCCCAATGCTGTGAGAAAAGACTCCACCGGTATAAAAGGGGGTGTGTCTCGTGAAGTCCGCATCAGTTTCAGTAGTGATCTCCGCATCGCCACACCATTATCGCCACACCATGAACGCTATAGTGAGTAACTCCTGCAGCTCCGAGTAACCGGAAATTTGCGTTACATCCGCGCGAAAGGGAAAAGGGGGTTCGTCGACGACCGATCTACGGATGTCCACGGAAGACTAATCGGCGAACTCTAATTACGCGAAATAAAATTGTTCGCGAGAACACCTTTCATTAATAATCAGCTTGTTAATTCTCTCACGATGCGTGACACTTTTACAGCCGTCCTAGACTCGGCTCTTCGCACGTGTGCAAGTTTCACGTTTTTTTCCCCGACTCTTTAAGTCAATCAGTGGATTATCACTGATTTTTACAGCCATCCTAGAATCGGTTCTTCACACGTGTGCACGTCTCACGTTTTTTCCCCGACTCTTTAGTCAATCGGTGGATTATCACTGCAAGCAGTGAATTATTTAGTGCTATACTTATAACTGTTTTCAGTGATAATACACTGAATGATCTTTCGAAAGCATACCTTTCATATATATTCTATTAAATATTTCACATATTTTAGACATATTTTAAACGAATAAAGTTAAATCAAGACCCCTACGCGCAGGACCCGGCGAGAGATGATTCGTCGATCGATGTCGAAACGATATCGAATCGACATCGACACCGTTAAATTGACGTTGATTCGACATCGTTTCGACATCGTTTCGACATCGATCAACGAATCATTTCTCACTGGGGACAGGTTGGAAAAACAGCGTGTGAATTCGACATATTAAATTAAAAATTATTGGGCTACCATCATCTTGCTCAGGTCTAAGAATTGATTTGGCGTTCTCGTTTACTATTTTTTTTGTTGTAAAGATTAGGCGTTAATCTCGACGTTAATTGCTATTACCCAGTGAGAAATGATTCGTCGATCGACGTCGAAATGATGTCGAATCGACATCAATTCGATGGTGTTGATGTCGATTGACAAATCATTTCTCACTGGGTATGGGATGGAAAAATATGTTTACTTTCCGGGTTGCGCCCGGAGGGATTTGCGTTCGGTCGGGACAATGAGCCGCTGCAACACAACATGTGTATTTAACCCATGTCACTTGCATCACTATATCCTACTTTGAACTCGTTGCAGCTCGTACTAGCCGTCCTCGTCGGCCTGGCAATGCCGATTTACGGCGAGGAGACACAGGTTGAGAAGAAACAGGAGAAGAGGGGCGTGCTGGGCTTGGGTTACGGGACCTACGGAGGATTAGGAAACGGCCTGCTCGCGGGACCTGCTTACGGAAGTACGTATCTCTTCCGATTCAACAAGTCCCCAGGATACCCGGGGATCCGCGCGTCCGCAACTTCATCTCTCGGACTGCGTTTCAGAAATGTCACCCGAGCGTCCTAGGAGTCAATTCCGTATATTATAGAGGAAAGTCTATTACAGGCTCCTAATATGAGATAGCGGAGTTGCTGCTACATTAATAGGCATCATCTGCTGGTTCCATCATGAATTCGTTGCCCCGGGGCTGCGTTCCGGGAGACGTTATTAGCGCTGGAAACATTCTATCTTCGTCACTCACTATATGTCGAACGAAGATAGAAGTAGCGTTTAGCTAAAAGCGCGCTCCGCGAACGCGCCTTTGAAATCTGTTTAGTGGAAGATTGATTGTTGGATCGTGTAATCGTTGCGAAAAAAACAAGATTTGTCATTGAATTTGGACGCTGAAAACCTACTATCTCACATTAGAATCCTACCCAGATATCTAGTATGCTCGAGCAATGTATGGAAATAAAATGCCAGCCACTGCTCCTCGTTAGGAATGTGAATTCAATGTTTGAGTGATTTGAGCACAGCCAGCATAATGTTAACGTACTGTCGTAGTTAAGTGCACAGCTAAAGAGAGAACACTGGGCATACTGTTAACAAAGAGTTAGCATACATTGTCTCCAATTTTCCAACAGATATAAACATATTATATATATTACACCTGGCCAAGCACTTATGCATAATATTTGGATCATGCAAATGCTTTTATTCCCATCAAACGCTAGCAAACAGCAGCACAATATAGACGACATAGATGCATAGCAAGACGCTAACGTTTTTGTTAGCAATGTGAGAGCAACTTGTGCTGACACTGGGTATCTCAAATAGAGGACTTTCCTCTGCTAGAGTGCAAATGCTGAAATTGAGTAGCTTTTATCTCTCGCCAACTGTCCCCTTAGACAGAGGCAAAGCCGCTCACTTTTAGCATTTTCACTATACTGAAAGATATAGAATCGCCTCCTAGTGTATCATTTCATCCTTGTCCAACGTACGGCGAGCAACAAGGATAAGAGCGATACCGCTGGGGCGCTCGGGTGATATTTTTGAACGCAGCCTCGGCTCGGAGGCAGAGGTCACGCGGGGTCGTCCCCTTCCTTTCGATTTCAGGCTACGGACAGAGCTATCACGGCGGCGTTGGCACGGCCTACACCGCGGGTCACGGCATCGCCGTGCCGGCGGCCTACGGCTACAGCGTGCCCGTGGCGTCCCACGGATATGCCGCGCCCGTGTACTCGTCTTATCGCGTCGGTTACGCCGGCGGCCTGGGATACGGCGGCGCGGGCCTGGCAGGCGGCCTCGGCCACGGCGTCGGAGGTCTCGGTGGGTATGGCGTCGGACTGGGATACGGAGCCAGGGGTCTCGGACACGGCGGTGCGGTAATCGGATACGGCGCTGGTCTAGGATACGGCGCGGGACTCGGGCACGGGCTCGGCGCCGGTATCGGCGCCGGTTACGGCCACGGATGGTGAAGACGCAGGCGGCTGATCGATTACCCGAAGCACGCGACTTCGACGACTCCTCGGTTCCCTCTGTCAATTCTGCCCCTACCCTGAACATTGGTCTCTCCCTCTTTCCATCCCCCCCAAGCTTTATATCGTGCGACTTTTGAATAAACTTTATATTTTTTAGTAAGCCCCGACGCCTTCTTTATCTCCCCCTTCTTCTCACGTTGTAGCGAGGGTGAGACGCGAGTCTGTCAGAAATTAAATTAGTCGACTCGCGCACATGAAATGACAAGTAAATAAAATTGACGGGATTGTAAACTAATTACGCGCTCCGATACTAAAATTAAGAAATGAAAAAAATGGAGTTCATTATTGTGGCACCTAAAAAGTTCGATACATGATTATAGACGTGTCCTTTTGTATTTTTTCTTTTGCTTTCCTTTGAGATTGTTTTATAATTTTAATGTTAATTAAATATATAATTAAAGATAATTAATGAGATAATAAATAATAATAGATGGAAAAAGAGATAATAAATCATTAAAAGATAATAAAAAAAAGATAATTAAAAAATAAATAAAACACTTTATTTAAGATAATATAAGATAAAATTAAATATCAGACACGCGAATAAAAATTGATTAAACCTCTGAAATCGGTAAATAAGATCCCTACTTTATGAACGGTTTCGCTCACATGACGTTGCCTTCTCGCCACTAGAGGGTGATAGCGAATCATCATATATGTTAAAAATAAAGATTGAGCGGCATGCAGTGAGGTTAAGTTATCGTAGGAAAGGTATATTAATTGCAATAAATCATGAACTTCCTGGCCAGGAACGTGATGAACTTCGCAAGAATTTACATAGCGAACTCCATTCAAGGTACGATCGCTGCGCGACGCAAGAATTTCCTTGATTACATAACCTCTAATTTAATCTCTGGACAAGGGAGGCTTACTGTCGCATTGGAAACTTTTCAGTATTTTCGGTTTTATTCGTGCATAATCGGAGCATTTCACTTTCGGTGGCTCAGTTATACCAAATCTGATGATTTTATTTTATTTCTTTCAGGTGGCAGCTTAACGAAGCTTTGTGGGAACAGCTGCAGCCAAGGTAATCTTGCATAAAGTTAGTTTATCTAACAATAAACTGAAACTTGATACTAACTACTTGATGTTAACAGGAAACGTATTAGAAGCCACGAGGACGTGTGTGAGCACAGCGCTGCAAGGTAATAATATATTTAAATCTATATGCATCGTAATCATAGCTTTTTATTTACAGAATTCTAAGTAAAAAGTATGTTTGATGAAGCTTGGATTGATTTTTATCGTAACGGTTCTACTTAACTCTATTTGTCTATACGTTTTTATTACAACAGTCGATTTACTTAATCTCCCTATGTTGCTAGAAATTGTTTAATATTGAGAGATGTAGTTTTGATCATAGAGACTCTCTTGAACAAACTCTCTTACTGGATAGTAGACGTACAATCAAGCGCTTGCGACTAGCGTAGAATGGCCTCGGGGTCAATTCTATATCTCACACTTTAGTGAAAATGTTAAAAGTGAATAACTTTGTCTCTTTCTATCCGTCTCCTTAGAAAGAGACAAAATTTTAGCATTATATCGTAAGATACAGAATTGATCCCCTCAGTATAGAGCGACAGACGGAAATACAAAAGAGAAATAATCTCTCTCGATGTTAAACAACTTGCTACCAATCTTATTCCTGAATGAAACGTTTTATGCGTTTTTTTTGTTTTCAAATAACATTTTGCAATAACTTTCTTCGTGAAACTTCAGTTTTAGTATTTTACTATTATTACTGTTGATTATTAAACCTTGTTGACCGAATAATTACAAGCTATTTATTCGTTTAAATTATTTTTCATCGCGACTGTTAATCGTATAATATTTTAACTGTTTAACATAATGGACTAATGATCTTATTTATTAAACTAAATTCGTTGAATGTATCTTTGAGTTGTACGAAAAGGCCTGAATTTTAATTAAACGCGCCTGAATCTGTTAATCTATAAAGGAACGCGAGTATACAATTCCAGGTTTAGTCTGATGACTTATTTACGTGAAATTGTAAGGAACGTTGGAGGATCGTATTTCTCACGCGCGTGATGACTAGATTGGTCTTCTCCATCTATAATCGCCTATAGATACGTATCTTTCCGATTTTCCGCTTGAATCCGGATTCTCTGCAAGAGGAGCGGTCGAAGATCGTAGGAAGTCGGCCAGATTTCCCATCGCGGCCGGCATTCTTCTGCTGCGAAAATACGCGCAGCCCTCACCTCTTTGATCCCCGTGGACAGAGAGATCTCGAAAAACTACCAAAGGGGATTCTATTCGTCCACTTCGCAAGAAAGGGCTCGCGCTGCGTAAAGACGATGCCCTGTGACCACTGGCGAAAATCGCTGGGAATTGAGGGGTGTGACGTGTCCATTTGCGGTTGACCAGTTGTCACTGTGGGATCCGATCGCTGCTTGCCAGTTTTCCCCTTTCCATTTTTCTCGCAACCACAAAGGGTGAGCCCGTGAGCCATTCACGAGGGCGTTCGTGAGAGCGTTCGCAAACGACACCTTATCAGAATTAAAGTTCCTGCCTTTCGTTTTAACAGCCCTGTGCAAAACTCTCTTGTTTACGCCTAGCTCCTGCATTGCGAGGATGTACAATATTTTTGTCTGTCCGTTTTGATTCTTCATTCAAATTGTTGAATTATTTCACGCTGAGTCGTGTGCCAAACATTTTACAGAGAGGACATTGCAAATGAATAAGAGAAAGGGTGCATATGTTGCAAGCTACAGTAGATTAACTTTTAATGAGGAATCCAAATCGCATGTGTCACGTGAATTTTACCTTTGTAAATTTTTACAGATGCTATACATTCAGATATTTTATATTCACATTTTAGATATTGAACGCAATTCAAATAATTGACAAATGTTAATTCACCGTATCGTAAATATTAGTTATTATTTCAAAATGTTGCGATATAATTTTTGCGATGGGGAATGAGGAGAGAATTTCTTAAGTCTGTATTTTTTCAGTCGTGAGGTCGTAAGAAAGAGATTCTTCGGCAAGGAGAAAGGATTTCCGACATTGTAACGATGCAACAAAGTGTAATACCGACGACCACGTTTTTCGCAATGTAATCTTGCGCATTGATCTATGGGAAAAGGGGTTGCCTCTCGTCATAATAGCTTTCCCTAGCGTAGGAGGAGTTAGGACGGATTAGTCAGTATCCCGCCGGACATCTGTCGTATTGATGGACGGTGGTCAGTTGAAATGATCAACAATGGCACTTTCTTTCGGATAGGTCTTAGATGATTGCAGGACGTCGGCTTCGCAATTCTGAAATTGTCACGTCATCTTCGAACCTTTCATTCTCGAAAACGGATCGCCCCGTAACGAGCGTTCTTTTCGTCGATTATATTGTCACACGATACTCGTTTGAGGTAATCTCTTGATTTTGTGAGATTTAAAATATTACGACATCCTTTCTCCTCGAGATATTTCATTTTGTTAATCATGTCGATGATGTTGCTAAGAGCAAATGCCTAAATTCATTAAAATAAAAAATGGAAAGGGATTAATTATTACAAAATAATATGTTGACGATTAAACATTGAAGATTCATTATATTCTATATAGAGATTAACGGTTTTTAAGTCGATGCATATTTTGTTGGTGAAAGTTAAATATACTTTCGAGATCACGTGATTTAAATTTGCCAAAATTAGAATAATTATGAAATAATATTGTATAATGATATATGAGTGAGACACAATTTTATTTGTACTGACATTTATTTTTTTACGGATTTTTGTAAAATGTACCCGATGACAAGGAAGCGAAAAATGAACTTTGATGTGCCCTTTTTTGTTTTTTTTCCTTGTAATCAATCATATTACTTATATTTTGTTTTCCACCACCTTTCCCATTTCCTTTGCCCTTTCTTTCAGGGTCTCTTTTACAATATCTCAAAGAAAATATTTGAATAATTTTGCATTTCATTACAGCCTTCCATCCACTAATTGTTATTTTTTTATTTTGTAAACTTGGGGAGGAAGACAGTGCATATCTTCTTAATCACTTGCGTTTTTTTGTGTTTTTCTTGTCGACGTTTACGATCTGGTGCTCGCATCTTACCAACGATTCATCGACACGAAAATCTAATGAAAAATAGCGCCTGGTAACTAATCTGGTCGTCTATTTACGTATATACAGACAATAAATTAATAATCGGTGATGTCTTTGGACAGTTTTAAAATTGTTTAAATTTGCGCGTGAAGATAATTAAAATCAGTTGCTTATATTTAAACCAGATATGAAAAAAATTATATAAAAGTAATTTTTCCGCTAGACGATAATTCTATTCTTTGCAAATCTTTTTCCACCTGATTACTGGGAATAATTGCGTGTTTATTTATGCTAATTCAGGATTGGGACAGATCAGATTTGGAAGCACATTAATGCAAATGCATAGGAGAGGTGGACCATACAAAAAGCGCCAACCTCCGAAGAATCCCCTCGATGGCAGTCCATTTATGAAGGGCATAGTTTTAAAAACCGTCATTAGAAAGCCAAAGAAGCCTAACTCCGCGAATCGAAAATGCGTCATTGTGAGATTATCGAACGGCAAGGAAATGACGGCATACGTTCCCGGTAAGGTTCCTCATCATGCTTCGTGCTTGCAGCAATACTGCATTCAATAGGCGAAATATTATCGCGCCTCAAAGCTTGGGGCGCCGCGTAGTTTGCGTTACAAAGTTTAGATGGATTAAATTATTTCAGGAGTTGGCCACAACCTACAGGAACACAATATAGTGCTCTGCAGGAATGGACGACTGCGAGATACACCTGGCGTTAAGATAAAATGCGTGCGTGGAAAATTCGATTTGCCCCATGCAGGCAAATAATCGGTCGCGCTTGTAATTAAGCGCAATTAATTTGTGATTATTGTCACCGTGTCTGATTATGTTTGACCAAATAGATATAATTTCTGTAAAAAAAAACATCAATTGTCCCATTATTGTCTATACTTTTGTTAATTATGTACAGTACATACGGATAACAAGAATAATAATATTGGTTCCTAAAAACTGCATTCCTAATTTTGAAAATGCGTTGTTGCGGGATCATTGAACAGTACAGAAACGATGGCGAATGTTCCTGGCAAGGTATAACACGAAAGTACGATATAATCTATTAATCTAATCCACCGAAATCGTACGGTAATGAAAATTTACACCGGGAATGCTTAGTGTCGATCGTATCAAGAAATTTATCGGGATTATCTAAATCCTAAATAAATTTTCAAATGCGTGTCAAAGATATTATTGACAGTGTGGTAATCGAGACATTTCGATTTCGCACAATCGATCAACATAGCTCGTCCATGCGAGCGTAACGGAAAGCAATTTTCGGGACGTCACGGTTTAGAGATTAGTACTGAAAATTGCGGCCCTTTGACACACTTTTCGGGGTGCCACCGCGCGCTTACCGTTACCTGGCTCGTCATTGTAACGGTGGATGGACAATGGCTCCGCTATCGGGGCACAATGGGAGAAGGGTTGTGACACAGCATCCGCATCTCTAACATTATTACGGAGGGGTTGGCCATCGCGCATCTGCAACCTCCACCCACGCGGTCGCCGAACAGCGGACCATATGACATGCTGACCAATATCCCGATATTTGGACAAGGCTCTCAACTTGAAACCTTCCGGAGCGAAGCAAGATTCTTGTGTAAATCTTTCTGAATAAGCGCCATGGAGTGACAGTTGCATTTTTATCGAATTTACATTATGCTAAAAGATGAGACAATGCTTGTATCGTAAATGCAGGTTTCTTTAATATTAAATGTCGAAATTATTTAATGAAAACTTCTGAAGGAGATTATTCGTTTCTTAAATTTGGGTTTAATTAGATATATTGTGTGAATGAGAACCTGCTATAGAATAGATCTAGCCCAAAAGTGGCTATTCCAGGCTATTGATAGCGTCGCGAGGCATATGTACGCCAGAATGTTTCATTACATTTCCTCAATACATGCATATTCCTTATTAAGAGAATATTCTACGACAGTAACCGGAATAGTATATTATAATGATATGTATATAGTACATATATATATGTATATATAGTAGACTGTTCTTATCTTTAATGCCATTAATACAAGATGATTGCAGCGAGCCTTAAAAATAATTACATTCTTAATGACTTTCGATGGAGATCCGAAAGGGGTAAGAACAAAAACTACTGGCTTAAATATTATATTAGAACGAGATACCTGAAACTTTCCGAGCATAAAAGAGTTTCAAAGACTAAAATACAAGGTTTTGCCTATGATTAATGATTGTTGACCAAGGGTAAATTAGCAATATTTCAAATTAAGTAACGGATAATAAAGTGAAATTGCGTTATTGTCCCGACCATTGCCAACATTCATCACTGGCGTGTATCGCGAAACATTTTGATTTAGCATGCAGTGCTTACAGTATCAGAATTCTACGTAATTAGACGTTGTAAATATCTGCGAGAGTGAATATTCGAGGTACAATTCTGTATGAAAACGTTTCAAGCAAAGTCGCGCACAAAGAATCCCTGAAGTGAGTCGCCGTGTTGATCCAACAAAATCGGTAACAAAATCGAAAGAAAATTTACAATGCGCGTCTTCAAATAGCCAACGGTGCTTTCAAAAGCCTCTCAAACAAATGGCGAGTAAACATTTTCCGTTCGGTCGCACGATTGTGCCTTAACTCTTTGCCGCGCGGCTTAGTAACTGGACACCGGTTCATCTTTGCTTTCTGATGTCGCAGTTCGACTACTCTACTGCCCTTTTGCTACACCACAAGCATTTCTTTTGATTTCTCGTACGTCTAGCTGTGTCCCGCTATTTTATTATACGCGTATAGTTTTTCGGAAAATTATTTCATTCATAAATGAGTATTTTTGTCAATATTGGGAAGTTGAATTTTGCTGGCATGCTTATGAAAATACGGATAATAAATTAAATTAAATTTGCTATTATTCCATGACAATTTTTATATTATATCTTTAAATTTCAGGACAGTACTCTCTCTTAACATAAATAATAATCTCAATATTTGCTAATAGATTGCGAAGTACATTTTAAATAGAGTATAACTCTTCTGGGCGTGCCCGCTGTTCGCTTGCTGCGCAGATCCATCTTCATCGAGCGAACAAAGAGGATTTTCAGTCAAGAAATAAAATTCATCCTTAAAGTGTGCGAGGGTGTGCCACCAAAAACGGAATAAGAGAGCGAGTAGAGAGTCTTCAGAAAATGAACACATAGCACCATTGAAATATAATGAATCTCGATTCTTGCAATCATCTGTGAGCAAACTTTCGGTGGGTCGACCAGAAAGATAAATGGAAAATAAGTTAGTTATAATCTTCTTCTCCCACTCTCTAAACTTGCGTTTTCTTTTCTCATAATTCTTTGTGTCATCAGTTTGCAGTTTCCGGATACATTTCTTTCAACGAATAGTTCAAAGTTCCGAAAAATCAGAAGATATATTAAGTGATTATGAAAGAAGAAAATTCTAAAAGTCATTAAAGGGAACTAACAGCAGGAGAATCCATTAGGCTCAAAGAAGTACAATGTTTGTTGTATTCTTGTGATATAAGTTGTTTATAAGTCTTGTCCAGTCTTGATTATTTTGTTAAGTATTAGAAATTTGACAAATCAATATGAAATCATTTATATTAATATCTATATTTGAAAAAGCTTTGTTTAAAAATCTACGTAAAATGCAACTTAGAAAATATAAACATTAAGTTGAAAGTGTGACTGCCACTTAATTTCGTTAGCCAACATTACAGATTAAATTAGAAAATCGATAATGGATCATAAATGACTCAAGAATTGCGTCGATCAGCCCTCGAGCGAGTGATACGATGGATCACGTAAACATTACGTGACTGAAACACGCAGTGATCTTACGGTATTCGTATTTGGTAGCAATGGAACACGTGTAGTGTATGATACAACGTACATTCTAATACACGAGAATTTTCGGATCTTCTTGAAGGTACCGAGGGTAAAATTGTCTTAATCTAACATCGTCATGGGTTGCTTAATTTTTATAAACGCAATTGATATACTAACGATGCATTAAACGAACCCAGGAAGTATGGTGTCTTTTTCAGATGTTCGATTCTTCCTTTACGTCCCCGCCACTTGTAAATATCCTAAGAAAGCTATCAACGGCGTCAACGGTCTGGCTATTGACGACCCGCAAATCCAGACGTTTCGAGGAAAGCGATGGGGTGGATATGCGCCGTCCATCCGATACCGTTACGTTGCTGTGCACGTCCGCCTGTGAGCGTGCGACAGATGCAAATGGTGAACGCATTCATCCGTCGCCGGGACCACGGCGATCACGGGAAAAATCGCAAATAACGGGTTGCGGCCGTTTCACGGGCACCATAGAAATGTGGGTTATGCAGCCAAAAGAGCAAAAATTTGTATACACAAGAAAGGAGGCGGTGCGGTGAATTGAGCGCGGGGGTGCTTTTATAAGAATGACAAGGCACCCCAACTAGAACCCAGAATGGACGACTAAATTTGGCGTGATCGCAAGACACCGTCATAATGAGACATCGGCCGGTCGTCCCTTCGCGCTCGGCGATGTACATTTTTCAGTTTATTTATATGTCCATCAATCCCCTTTTTTTAACATTAATGAGAATCGCGGGTAAAAGCTCAACGGTGGGTGTGTTTGAAAAACAGATCCATAGCTTTGTAATACGAAATTGCGACTGGTTTTTGCAAGGGGAGATGCACCCTCAATTTGAAACTTTTACTAACTTTAGTTCGGTTCTGTTTACTTATTGGCAGTAGTTTTAACTGCGACAATGTTATTTTATGTCCAATTTATATTTTCTTGGGATTCACTACTCGTTTCTCACTGCGTGAAATAGTCTGAAACGTTGAACTCTCGTTTATAAGTGTAACATATGTACCAAATGTTACGTAATGATTTATGATCCATGAATGATTGACACGAAAAGTAGATCCTATGAAAAATGGACCTGAGATTGCAAAACCAGCGATTTTCAATGCGAGGAACCCCTTTAACAGCTTTATTTTTGTTAGTGTTCCCTTGAGAAATATAATAGAAATACAGCAAAGTCGGCAAAGGCCTTTCTACAGAAAAGGTTTTGTGAATTTCGCATGCAAGCTCAAAGTCAATCATTCATAAATCATGTTGAGCAGTCAAGAAAAGAATGAAGGTTTTCTTTGGTCTAGAGAGACAATTATATTCCAGAACTTCTAGTAATCGATTTGTTTAATCACTGAAGTCATTTGCAATATTATTTATAAGCGCATTATTCTTCTATATTTCTATAATATTATTTTAAACAAGTTTACATAAGCATGTAATGAACAGCAGAAGCACGAGAAAATGGCGTGTATTAAATTGAATATCGAATTACGTATTAAAATCGAATATCGTCATATTCGATTTTGTTATTAATCGATTGTATATTGTATCATATACTCGCAATAATGTATAAAAAGAAAACGATGTACACTTATCTGACTCTAGCAGAGACAGGATAGAATAATATCCGTCTCTCGGCGTACAAATCTTTAGATTTTGCAAAATAAAAATGTTACTGATAAGAAAATTCTGGGTAATAAGGCAATTAATACATCGTAACAAGAAACTTTACGTGAACGACAGCGTCACCGTGTGCTATTTCAAATATGTTGGAAACTGCTTATGGTCGTTATTCGACTAAGCACGTGCCATTGCGACGTTTCTAACAGGTTGTCGAGTTTCCCCACTACTGTGCCCAAGACGAACGTTTGGGGCCTCAAGGGTGGACTATATAAAGCTTCTTTAACCCCGAACGAGATCAGTTGGGGGATAGACTTTTGCACAGCAGATATTTCGTGTTCGGCACAATATTCAGTCTCCATCTTTCATCTTCGTAACGAACACGCACTAAAATACTCGTATACGGTAATTAAATATAATGAGAGAATAATAAGAAAACGAGAACGCGCATATATTGTCATCGATAGTGTTGTGCTACTAGTCGTAACCTTGGATTAAACTGGAATTATTAGGTAAGCGTATTTATATTGCAATAGAATTCTATCAAATAATATTGTTTTTACTTTCTTAAGCTTTAAAATAAAATTTTCAAAGCTCTCGTGTGTACGTATATGTGCCGTGTCACATTATTATGGGCGCCTTGCAAAGTGGACATCTTAATTTTAAACTATTTATAGGTAGACAACTGAAATAAATAGGTTTTAATTTATTAAATACACTATGTGCAGAAGTAAAGTAATTCGTTTCAATTGTCTGCCCAGTAGTTCGATACTGAGAAAATATCGACTTTGCAAGGCGTCTCTAATTTGGCGCGGTCCTGTATTACATATCGTCGTATTTGCCCATCAAATTTCACTATGCTGAAAAATACAATCCATTGAAAAAATAAAACCGGTCTTGATATTTTACACAGTTTGCAATTCTTTATATTAATTTAAATTGTTCTACCGAAGGAAATGTAGTTCTTTTATGTATTAAGGTAGTTGTTTCGCGACAGTAATGCTCAAGAGTTTCTTCCAGACAGGAACCAGCGCTCAATTGTTACAATGATATTTCTTGATGCAATATTATTCTAAAACCTTACGATTAATACATAATATAAAATAGATTCGAAAGATTATAGTTTGAGACGCTGTTGCCACATTTCTTACACTATACTAATTGTCTCCTACATATAGTAATTCTTCCCATTTTTCAGTTTTAACTGTTTATATTGTTGAAACGGAACGGTCCATAATTTAGATTTTTTCCCAGTTATTCGTTCTACTTTACTTTATAACATATTTGTTTCTCATACGAATCTCACTCACAGTTAAGTTTAAAAAAAATGTGCCGTCATTTGCGTTTGCAAACGCAAATATTAATATTTTAACACACAATAATATTTCACGTGCAATTATATTACAGCAACTTATATTGTTACGTATAATCATATTTTAAACGTGTTTTACACATAATATTTCGTGTAACATAGCAAACTTAAAAATTTTTGTTAGAACTTTGAGACGATCAATTTTAATTCAATTAGTCTTAATTTGCACGTATTAAAGTAAAGAATAAACTGTAAAAATGTGAAACAATTCTCACATGAATGATATTACGAAATAACTACCTTAAGCCGCCGTCAATAAAATTTTCTAACCATTAAGTCGAATCTACCTCTGTGAAAAAAATTATCTTTTTTATATAAATTTATTTGAGACAGAATAGCTTGTCTAGCGGCTTTAGTTATGTGTGAAATCTAGAACATGCTGTGTCATTATCGTTCGGCATTGTGCGTACGCTTTAAGTAAATCATACATACATGCTAGACGTTGCATTCTTTCACATTCAATTTTATTTAATAAATCAAGCCAGGAAACGTGAAATATTTAGCGCACTGTTTAAATCATTTGCTAGTGCCTGAGACGCATTAGTGATATCTAGTCACATAGTATCTTGTATGATATAAAGCATTCCCTTCCATAAGTCTCCGCCACGCCTCCTCCAAGCGCCCTCGAATTTATTGGTCGAGTTGATGAGGGGGCGTTGAGAGAAAGACGATAAAAGTCGAGCGTAAACGTGTTATATCAATGTACATACGTGGCACGCCCCAGATTTCCGAGGAATACTTTTATCGTGCAAATGAAATGAAATTAATAAATAGTTATTGCACAGTCCATTTAAAATCATAGACTTATCTTGGCAACAGAGTTACTCAGTCAATTTATTACAGTTTAAACACAAACTCGAAAGAATACGAATTAATTTGACTAGTTCTGAACGGTTCAAACAAGTTTTCCTTTATTGCTACACCATTTGTATTTTATTTTATGCTGGTAAAATAATACGAAGAATACATCGGTTGAATAAAATGTATTATTACTCCTTTATTAAAAAAAAACAGTCAAAATTTGTATAAAAATCTTATTGAATCTACAACTAAGAAGTTGCGCTTAGCATGAAAGTTAGAACTTAAAGTACTACGACGTCGATTAAGATTTTATTGAAAAAAGGCTTGATAAAATCTATGTAACATAACAGATCGTCTAGTTTTAAGCTCTAAGTTTATTTTTTAGTGTACACTACAATTTTTAACAATTTTCTCATTTGACGCACATATACGCTGTATATGAACTAATAACAATAATTCATAATCTTATTACAGTTACAAATGACGATGGAGAACAGTACGAACCAGTGCAAGCCAGATAAAGGACAGCTTCAATACTCTGAAGAAAAGGATGGCTTAGATTTAAGTACATTTGCTTTGGACCTATCGCTCAAGAAGGATGTGCCACCTGTATCACCTAAAATGTTTATGATGGCCCTATCGCCAACTCTGCCTGCGAGTGCAAACAAGCGCGGGCTATACGAAGAAATAAATCTGCCAGTGACAGATGGACAAACTATCTTCGCGGGCAGTAGTGCCATGTTATCGCCATATTCCGAGTCAAATTCGCCAAAGAGAATGAAGACTGAATCTGAGGGCTACCACGAAAACAGTAGCCAGCTGAGATACAACGCTACGTTAACAAATCCGCACGGCGTTATCCCGGGCATAGAAATGGGCGCGATACCTCAGCAGCCTCCGTCACCGCTACCTGGGCTTCCGAACGGAGCCGCGAGACCCTTGACAGAGTTACTGGCGATGTCTGTACCGCATACAGAAACAGCGCAATCCCTCCCAATATACAATGACGCCGAAAGAAATAGTCTGCTGGCGGTGCCAGAGTTCTCGACATCTACGGACGATGGACTGATGACATCGCTGAACCCACTGAAGAAAACGCCGAGACCCTTCAAGGCCTATCCGAAGAACTTTCCTCCCCCAAGTGATGACTCGTACACGAACTACATAAAGTTCCGCGAGAGGGTAATCGAGCTGAAACGGATGCACGAGAACACGTCGAATCCTAGAATGCGCCGAGTGGTCAAGAGTCCTGGATTGCCTACTAGTACCGTCGAAGAAAAAGACCCTGCATACCTGGAACGGAGGAGAAAAAATAATGAAGCGGCGAAGCGTTCCAGGGAGGCGCGAAGAGTTAAGGAGGATGAACTCGCGATCCGAGCGACCTACCTCGAACGCGAGAACGCGCAGCTGAAGGAGAACTTCAAGAAGCTCCAGTTTATGTACCATAAATTGTACATGCAATTCTGTCACGCCCATTAGTATCGCATTAAGATAATTTGGGCTTGTAATTTTAGTTGTGAATTATTACAGTTAATGATATACATATAATGATGATTTATCCTGATAGTTTCAGATTGCAAAGAAGCGTTTAAAAGTTTCGTATAGTATATATCATGCATATATGTTTTTGTATATTTATATAATATTTAGTATATCATATAGCTATAAACTATATATGTATATAGTTTGTATATATTGATATACATACATTTACGATATATCATGTAAATATTGCTATTTATAATTGAGTGAATCTTATTGTCGCCAGTGATAATTCACCAAGGGAATATTTTTCAAAAAGTCAACCAAACTGGCAAAAAGGTGATCTTTATTTAGTTCACGTCTGAAGCGAGCTAAATAAAGATTGCTACAGTTTGGTCGACTTTTTGGAAAATATTCCCTTGTTGGCTATTTATAATTCTTCACCGCGTCGTGAAAATAGTTTGCAACTGAAGAAAGAAAAATTTCTGATAGATTATTCCGTTTCCCGTGTAAATATACCTTTGAAGATTTTTCTTTATAAGTTAAAAGTACTTATAAATTATCACGGATAAACTCCATACAATCACGTGATGTTTCGGTATAATAAGATTTAAATTGCATCATATAAGAGGTTAAAACCGAGAACGTATGGAGTTATGCGGAGTATTTTAAGTATGCTTTATAGTCGACGCTGTTAAGATCAATTATAAAAAGTGAACCGATACCAAAATATTAAAAAGTAGCAATATTAATGGCAATAAAAAATATGATTCTCATACTCTTGCAATGTAACGTAATTTGATTTAAATTGTTCTCATAAAATATGGAATTGTGACACAATTTATATATCTAAACAGAAATATTAGAATATAGATTAGAAATACTATGGACTGTGGGTATATATGTATGTGTCAAAATTTAGAAAGTTGTAAATATATACACATATATATATATACTACGTGAAAATACTTTTCTTCTCTTATGTACATAATTATTTTCGTAACAATAAAATATTTAAAATATACATTTGTACTACATATAATTTGAATAAAATTTTGTTTCTATAAAAATACCTTATTATATGTACCGTACAAACATAATTTTAAATGTATTTAAAATGTAAGTGTAAGATAGTATTTCCTTAATTTAGTTTAATAAAATTATAACATTCCCAAGATTATATTACAGATAGTTACATAAAAATCTTTCGGCACACTTCGTCGATGAAATTAAAAACTAGATCAGATTCGATCAAACTATATTAATTAGGCAATGTATCTACAAGTTTTGCTTTTATAAAAATCCTTTCTTATATATCGTACACAAATATAATTTTAAATATGTTAATAAGATAGTATTTCCTTAATTTACCTCAATAAAATTAAACATTCTTAGGACTATATTATAGAGTCATACAACAAAATCTTTCGAAACATTTCGTCGATAAGATTAAGACCTACGTCAACTAGGCAACGTGTCTGCAAGTTCCATCATGGTATCCGACTCGAGAACATTCTTTTCCTTATTTTGATTATTTGTAAGTACCTTCGAAAAGGATTTTTGTACTTGTCTAGGGATAAAAACTAATGACGTCGTTTTAGTTTTGACAGTAGGTGATGCAACTGTTTCTACGCTATCATTACTTTTACAGGCTGCACTGACGGTGGTGTCTCTCGTGAACATCTTGCTCTTCTGATTTTTATTCAGAAGTACCTTGGCAGATTTTTTCTTCTCTTTATTATCAACATCAACTTCCATTTTATTTAATTCATCTTCCTTGCTGCAACGTGGTGTGTCATCGAATCGATATTTCTTTGGATATTTATGTACTCTGATACAATGTTCCCTCCTTTCCATAGGATCGTTGAATTTCATGCCGCATTCGGAGTCGTAACATTGATACTGAAAAAATGACACTATATTAAATATATTTATAACAGTGTGGATTCATCTAAAAAAAAAGGTTTTGCAAGTACCATGGCTTGTTTCTCCGACAACACTTTGAAGAAGGCGTCGTGCGTCTCCTGGATATGAATCTCCAGCAGCCGTGGATTCGGCCTGGACGCTTTGCATTCTGTACAAGCGTACCGATGCGAGCTGTTGTAATGCATCTCGTAATCGAGCAGCGTTTGAAAAGTGCTCCTGCATCTCGGGACGTAACACTGGAATGTCTTGATCCTGAAATCAGATATCGCCCTTTACTTCTCACGGCTCTGCGTCGAGCGAGTACCTGCACGATCGCCTTCTCTTCCACCGAGGTAGAAATCAAAACTATTTACAGATCGACCATGACTGGCGATGTGTTTTTAACATAGAAAATTTCTTGCGAAAAACATTACCTCAGCCAGGGTTTGAACCTGGACCTCCCTACACTCTAGGCGAATTTTCTGTGTTAAAAACGCATTGCCAGCTATGGTCGATTAACAGCTTAATCGTGCTTAGTCATTTGCCGGCGTCAAGTAATTCTTGATGATTTTCAGATACTCGGGGACTCGGTAAACATTTTCAGAGGGGAAGTCGCCGCGTAAGCGTGGACGGTTCGCTACCCGCAGGACAAAAACAAGCTTTTTTAGGTTATGTCAACATGTCTCTCTCTCTCTCTCTTTTTCTAAGAGAGGCTCGTACTCACGCCTCGTGGCAGAGTTCCTCCTCGTCGTCGATCGTGACGCCCTTTCTCTGGAAGACCTTGCAGACCTCGTAAGACTCCTTGAAGAAGGGATCGTTGACAGGGCGAGTTCCGATCCCCAGCTGCTGGAGAACCTCGTCCATGGCAGGATCTTCTCGGACGCCGTGCAAGTAAACGCAGCGCTCGCCTCCCTTTCGATGCGATTGTATCTATTAATTTTGATAACGATATGAGCGAATCCGCGTTCGTCGCTCACCGTACAACCCACCTTTGTTATTCACGCAGCTCCGAACGCGACGTGCCGAGCGCGCGCGTTCTCGCGGGCGAAGCGCGGGCCGCGCTCGCCGCGCTCGCGGTCCCTCGATCGTGATTGGCTGCCCGTTCGAGCGCTCGTGGTCCCTCGATCGTGATTGGCTGCCCGTTCGAGCGCTCGCGGCCCCTCGATCATGATTGGCTGCCCGTTCGAGCGATCGCGGACGGACGCCGCTTCGATAATCGAAATTCGAACCGCGAGGTTCGCAAGCGGCCGTTGCCGAAGTGACGCGCCGGCGGCGCGATGGGCGGCTGTTGTTGCTGTTGTTTACGCGGCGATTCGCGAGGGACGTACGCGTGAGTAAATGCTCGCGGGTGAAAATCGGCGACGCGCGTCGGTCGGCGGCGACGAACTCGATCGGGGCGACGCGTCGTATGCTCGCCGCGCGCGCTGACCTCCCCGCCGCGGCGCCGGATCGTGCGCGTCCATCCGTGGGCCTAGCTCGCGCCGATTGTTTGATCCGCGTATCAAACAGTCAACTAGTAAGTGGACTTAGCTACTGGCCGATCGGCCGAAATACACTATTCGATACACATATCGACTGATCGGTGTAAACCAGACTAGTCTGTGCTCGCGCTGCTAGAAAATCGCTCCGCGGTCTCGCGCCCGAGGAGAAGAAAATGTCAGGACGACGTCAATTTGATGTCATATTGACCGAATTTATGTCAAATTTGGTTCAATTCGATGCCATATTGACCAAATTTTCGTCAATATGGCATCAAATTGACGTTATCCTGATTTTTTCTTCTCCTTGGGCACCGAGAACCGCGTTAATCAACGCTACGCGAAACCCGAACGTAGCCATCTTTTTCAAGTCCAATCAGATTACAAGGGGGAGGGGGGGATTCCGATATCGCGGGATTCGCGGGCGGAGGAGACGATCTATCATGGCCGACGCGACGCTTCGATCGCGATCGAGAACGTACGTGTCTCGTGAAGCCCGCGTGTCCGCGTATGGCCTCGAGTGCGTGGCTCCCGTGCGCTCCGCGTGTTTCGTGTAATCGCGCGACTCACGTCGCGCATCCAGGGCGTCGGTTGTCTCGCTACACACCAGCAGGTAAGCTGTGGCGCAGACCTCCAAGGGCGGGTATGAATCCCAAAAAGGAGTTCAGTTGAAGTTCGTTATGGATCAGTAGAATTTGTTCAAGATGAGCTCGAAGGAATTTTTCTTTCCCAATTGAAAAGGGACTCCGTGGAACTTGACACATTAAGATGTATTTTGTTTCAGTTGTGAGCGGTGTGTGCGCGTCTGGAATATTGCCCTCTGGTTTTCAGTTTGCTGGAGAAGCTGACGCAGAGGAGGTGAGACGACACGCTCGAACTTTATTCACAACGTAATTTTGTTAGCGATAGATACGTGAAAACGAATTCTTTTTCAGTAGCCCACAAAGTATGCCACTAGAAGGATACGTCTTGGCTTCTAAAGCCTTGTGTCCACGATTCAAGAACGTGTCCAAGTTCTAGTTCCGAGAAATGCGTAGCCAATCACCTTGCAGCTTTTATGGAATAGCTGCAGGTTGATTGGCTACACATTTCTCGAAACTAGAACTTGGACT